ACTGTGGTTAACTCGTAACAATGATCAAGTGGATGTCAGCAACGGTACGATTCTTCTCCTTTTAACAGATCTAATCACTTTGAAGACATGTGTAACATATAGAAAACTGGTCTTTTTCAAACCTGCAATCCTGCATATAGAAACGTGTAAGATTATTTCAAACGTTGCACATTAAAATCAGTCCCGGGTGAGTTTTAGGGCACATGAGACTCGTCTTCAAGATAAGAGACAGTAGTACATTATCTGAAACACTCGTGAAATCGATACAGAGAGACGACAAACAATATTATAGAGAGCTGTTCTATGCGTTTCCATATTTTCTGGGTATTGTTTGCATTGTTCTATTCTAATACACGTTTTAGCGTAAATTTGAATGGATGAATTATCAGCGGTACATAGCCCTGACCACAAGATACATCGCGATGATAACATCTTGCGTGAGTTAGAAGTTATAATGTTTGCTCGCTGATAAACGAACACTATATATATATATATATATATATGATAATTCATCCATATATATATACAGTACTATTGTGTCAATTACATAATAAATCTACACGTGTGTCAATGTATACATCTTATCTGCACAGTTATATAGATATGATTGTACAAATACTGTCATAGAATTCCTAAAATCGTCATTCAAACACGAATAATTTCTGAGTGATTTCTTGGCGTTGCATTTCACAATACGCGTAATTTACACAGTATTAAATATACGAAAATATGGTGCTTTTTCAAAAACTTTAAGTTATAAAATTATATGGATATGCACTTCACCATCGCAAGTAAAAGGTGCGGCCAGCAAATAAATTTAGTAGATGACCACGTGTTTTTGTGGCGATGGAATAACATCTACGTCTGATCATGTATTAGTATGATGCTATTTCAAGTATATTAAAAGCAATATTTATATCTTGTTTTGAGGATGGATGGATCTTATTTGAAATACCACAAAAATAACGCCATTTTTTTTACAAATATAGTCCTCGATTGTATGTAATGCACTATTCCTGATCGTCAATTTAAGAGCGATATTTCTCATCTTAATTACTTAAATATTTGAATATTTCATTAATGATATATTGCTCCAGCGTTATAAAATATATCAATATTTTATAATCCTTCTGCTTCCCTGTGGTCAATGAGTTGATGTGCGTTTATCGTGAATAAGAAAGCAATATTATTGCTTCAAACCGACATATATTAATTATTTAATCACGTATTATACTAAGTCCTGAACGGAGTTGTTGTTGTTATATGATACTTCTCTTCATATTTCCGTTCATACTGATAGTGTATACATAAAATGCCATGGGCATTATTGCTGAATGGTATTCAATTATTTTAGAATGTTGTGGCAATCCATTGAGGATTAAATGTCCAAGTTAACTCTTGTGGGCAATGTGATTTGTTCTGAATTACCTGCAAGCAAAACAAACCGGTTTGTTTGTATCTGAGCGGCTTGTTCAGTTTGTGAAATATAACTTGTCTGCATACAACACGAACAATTTAAAGCGGGGGAATCGTCACCTGCGCATGCGCCAGATGGCCATAGAGTGTCAGTGTTTACAAACAAGCTTCTACCCATGAGCATTTACATTTTTAGCGTGTGTTGTTATCATCGATTGAGACTCAATTCCCGCGCATGCGCATGTGACGACCCCCAACGCTTTAAAAACATACGAAAACTTGAAATGATTACTGGTTTGATTAAACTAGTCCACTATATTTGCAAGAAGCACTTATATCTAATATACGTACTTGCCTCTATACAAAACACTGTCTACAACCACTGACTTATACGTAAGCCATCTATTGGATCTATACAATGCATTTACGATCACATATTTCCATCACAAATTGCTTTGCAACGCATTGAGTGGAACACGATTTCAAGTCAGTTGTTGTAGGTTCGAGTAGTATAGTCACATTGGCATGTTTTGGCGCCATTCGATAAACGAGCACGTGATGAATTGAGAGAAGAGTTCGTGACACATGTCTCCGGATTTCCATTTATCTGTCAACACCAATTTTACGCAAACCGGTAACATGGCTGAACCCGTTCATAAAACAAATCAGTGTCATCTCGGACATAAAATACATATCTCCCAATCCTTAAAAAAATGGATATTGTTATCTTCAAGTAATAAAAACAGACGTCTTGTATAATCACTACCAAGACATGAAATATGGAATTATGTTTTTTAGATAATGTGTACTCAAATACATACAAAATATGGTATAGCCATGTCACACTATAATTCGCAATGAAGCTTTCTATAAAATCTCAGGATGTAACTTTTAAGACTTGTGTGCTTATTGCCATGTAAGGAGAAAAGTAGTAACTTACTCGTTTTTGTTCAATAAAGGTGGTCATAAATCGCGTTACTACGTTGATTGGTTTACTTATGGGGCTATATTTCTATGGTAATAGAAAACATCATTGTTTTGGTGGTACAATACCGTATTTTGTGATGATTGTGATAATAGTATTCAAAAAATGACATTATTAAAATAAATCCACAGAACACATTTTTTTTCAAATAAAGTAGGGTAACAGTTTCTCCACCATATTAAGTCCATCCTACAATATGCAATATGATAATTTCACCATACGAACCAATAGTGAAAGCGGTATCATACTGACAAAATAGTCGATATGTACTAAAATACAAACATAATTTTCCTGGTGACTTCAACCTTTATTAAAACATTTACACGACAGCATCCCCAGCCTGTTTTTCTGTTACTCCTGTAACGTAATGAACATTTAAATGGTTCTAATCATAGTAATCAGCAGTCACTAAAAGTGTTCTATATGCATTACAAAGTGTTACTTGTAACTTTGTACAAAACTGAGATCAAAACGATACAGACAACGCACAACTCTTCTAAGGCTACATACTCCGATCATGGAAGGTACCTTCCATTCTCTAATTAGCTGAAAAATCACCCATGTCAACGATTGTATTCTCTTGAAATTACATCTAACCACGAAAGCAGTCGGTGTTTAACCATACCTGGATATGCCAAGTGAAAAATATTTGATTTGATAAGATTAAACCCTTTTGCTTACTCACCGTTTGCTTAAAACATAATAGACTAGTACAAATGTGTTCGCGACATTTTTATACGAACTCATCACGTGACCGATTTCAACAATGGCGACTATCCGAACGTTAATTTTCATATCGCAGTTGATGTGACATATCCTTATGTGGGGTCACTTTTGTCTAAAACAATATTTCGGTGAGATTTGGTCATCTCTGTGTGGATATATTTAAACAAAACATGTTCAACAGCTATTGTCACTTTAAGAAACCCAGATTTCCGTGAAACAAGTGCAGAAAATTCAAAATATATATCATATTGGTTCATTTGGAAGATAATAACGACAACAAAAAAGATGTTTCATGTAAATGTTATGTTTATCACCAGTAGTTAAGGTATTCGCTTACTCGTCATTTGTTTTTAGTCCCCGTTCGGACGCAGTCCGAAAACGGGGACTTATGTTTTGCCCTGTGTGCGTCCGTCCGTCCGTCCGTGCATCCGTCCGTGCGTCCGTCCGTCCGTGATCACCTGTATCTCGAACATGCATGGACCGATTAAGTTCAAACTTCACTCATACATT